AGCTGCCTCCTGCACGCCCCCTGCTAGGGATTGAGCCCCAAAACCCAGGCATGTGCCCTGACTGGGACTTGAACCTTGATCTCCAACCGCTGAGGCTCAACCGCTGAGCCATGCCGGCCGGGTCTTAGTTATTTCTTAAGAAGACACAGTAAAGCCTTAAGTAGGCTAAGTGCTGAGAAACTGTACTGATGACTTCACACTCTCCAGAGTGCAGGCATAGTGAGTGACCCCTAGCCATAGGCACCTGCTGGCTAAAAAATACCATGTGCTGCCTGGCTGGCGTGGCTCAGCGGTTGAGCATCGACCTATGAAACAGGAGATCCTGGTTCGATTCCCGGTCAGGGCACATGACCGGGTTGTGGGTTCGATCCCCAGTCGGGGGTGTGCAGGAGGGAGCCGATCAATGACATTATTAATGTTTCTATCTCTCTCTCTCCCTCTCCCTTCCTCTCTCTGAAAACAATAAAGACATATTTTTTAAAAAATACCATATGCTCCTGGTAGCTAAGAGAATTGAGCACTGGCTACCTCTGGTCCTCAAAGAGTGGTTTTGTGCACTTTGCTCTCCAGATCAGTATCAGCTTGGGCTCAGAGCAGCTGGGCAGACGCTGCCACAGGTCCAGGGCCACGAATGAGGTTGTGCTTTGCACAAAGACAGGAAGGAGGCTGAAATCCAGCCCATGCACCTTACTAAGCCTGGGTCACACCAGGGGCTACGTCAGCCAGGAGCAGGGTGTATTGCTGGTGGGCAAGTCTTCCTGCAATTTATACTAAGACCCTACACACTTGTGACCCTACAAGGACCTGAGATAAATATGCTTCCTGCCCACTCAGACCACAAACCCCACCAATTGACATGTTGCCGTTGCAGAGGCATGGGAACCCTCGCCTGGGCCTCTGTGGCCGGAGGGAGGGCAGCAGATATCTCTTGGCTGGACCTTGCTCCTAATAATCGGGCATTTTTTTCTAGAACTGGCTGCAACAGAGACCTCAAAAGATGATGAAAGTCAACTGTACCTGAGGGTGAGATGGTTTTCCCATCGGCCGTAAATTCCTGTCTCTCATACTTAGCTCTAATCCACTGTTCCTTTAAGACCCTAAAAAGAGAAAACCTCTGGTCAGCTGCGTCTGACGCATTCTCTACCCGAGGCGACCTGCTGAGGCCCCGCAGCTGAGGACGGGAGCATCACGCAGCCTCCTAACCGCTGCTCAGACTACCCGGGGCTTCTCAGCCGGGGAACTGTTAACACTTGAAGCGGGGTGACTCTGTCATGGGGGCTGTCCTGTGCTTTGCAGAATGTTTGGCAGCATCTCTGGCCTCTACCCCCTGGATGCCAGCAGCCCTTCCTCCCCAGGGATACCCACAAGTGTCTTCAGACATTGCCAGTGTCTCCTGGGGAGAAATACAGCCCCCAGTGGGCTATACAAAAACCACTGGGCTACTCCGATCCCAGCCTCAGCCCTGTAGGTCAGTGAGGCAGACACCAGCTCCTCCGGGTCGTCTCCGCTGCGGCCCCCCGCTGCCGGCTCCTAGCTTAAGCCAGGAGAGTCCAGGAGCCTCCTCCTGCGGCCTGCCCGTGAACTCTGGGCATGCTACGCCGGACGGAGCAGTGGTCTTGGGGCCTAACCGTCTGGAACCTGGTCCCACTCGACCACTTATCCACTGTGTGACCAAGAACAAGTTACTTAACTCCTCTGAAGTTGGGGAGTGTGCCGATAATATTACACCTACCTATCCCTGAGGGTAGGTTTAAAGGTATATAAAGGGCATAGTACCATGCTCAGCACAGAGTCAGTGTTCAATATCAGCCCAATTAGGTATTGTCTTCCGTGACCCCCGAGGAAAAACCATACAGCCAAGAGTGGGCATAATTCAATCGTTTGGTTCTCTCTTGCAATTTCCAGGGAAATGTTCCAAGGTTTATATGACCTCAGCCCCACAACCACAGGGAATGACCTAGAGCTGGGCACCTGGCCCAGACTGGCCAATCAGAGCCCTGCTCAGGGCTGTGGGGACCCAAAGGAGCGAAACCGAGAGGGATGAGTTAGAAGCCCCCTCTGGGGTCAAGCTGGGAGCTGGAGCTGGGGACCTAGACGTGGTCTTGCTCCCAGCTACATGAAAGAAGCCCGGCGGGGAGAAAGAAGCCAGAAGAGAGCCAGAGAGGGTCTGAGAGACCTGATGGTGTTTGTCCTGGCGTGTCCTTCCTAGGGTGACTCCACCTCTGTCCTTCCTGCAGTCTGATCCCCAGAACCCATAACATCTTGTACCTAAGCCGGTTTAAACTAGGTTTCTGTCACTTACGATCAAACCTTATCCAGCTTTTTGGCTTTTGGCTCAAAGGAAAGGTAGGTGCAACTGTCTCTGGTCGTCCCAAATCTGGGTTCATCGTCACCAGCCGCCTCGGCCATGCCGCTGAAGCTCAGCCCCAAGGAGATCAAAGTCGTATACCTCAAGTGCACTGGTGGGGAAGTCGGTGCCATGTCTGCCCTGGCCCCCAAGATCGGCCCCCTGGGTCTGCCTCCAAAACAGGTTGGTGATGACACTGCCCAAGCAACTGGTGATTGGGAGGGTCTGAGGATTACAGCGAAGCTGATCGTTCAGAACAGACAGCCCCAGACCGAGGGAGCGCCTTCTGCCTCTGCCCTGATCACTGGAGCCCTCAGAGAACCCCCACAAGACAGAAAGAAAATATTAAGCCCGGCGCTGGCCGGTGCGGCTCAGCTGGTGGAGCGTCATCCCATATACCAAAAGGTCGCCAGTTCAATTCCCGGTCAGGGCACATACCTAAGTTTCAGGTTCAATTTTTGGCTGGGGCATGCACAAGAGGCAAGTGATCGATGTTTCTTTCCCTCTCCCCCCTCACTCTCTCTCTCCCCCTCTCCTTTCCTCTCTCTCTCAAATCAGTAAAACATTTAAAAAAACATTAAGCACAGTGGAAATACCACTTTTGATGAGATTGTCAACATTGCCCAACAGATACGTCACTGATCTTTAGCTAGAGAACTCTCTGGAGCCATTAAAGAGATCCTGAGGACTGCCTGGTTTGTGGGCTGCAATGCTGATGGCTGCCGCCCTCGGGACATCATTGATGACATCAACAGTGCTGCAGTGGAATGCCCAGCTAGTTAAGAACTTCAAAGGGAAAGAGTTCAATAAAGATCATATGACAACAACAAAAAAAGAAAAAAAGAGTCCTATCTAATGCAGAGTCCTCAGGACAGTGAGGAGAGTCACTGAGCCCACCATGGAACCCTGAGCCACAGGGTCAGAGCTGGGAGAGGGAATGGAGACTGAGGCCCCAATCCTGGTCCTGGAGGTGGAGAATTTGGAGGACTTGCAGAATTGGAGGGAAGAGGCCATTAGAATTCAGCTTAAAGGGTTGTTAAAGCATAGGGCTGTTGCTGGAGTCATGCCAAGCAGTGACTGTGTAGTGCGGGCAGAAAGCCTTGCACATAGTAGGTGCTCACCAAGTGCTCTTGGAGCAAAGGGCTGAGTGGCAGAGGTGAGGCAAGGTGATCAGGCCTCTCGAGTTGAGCCTGGCACATCGCTCAGCTGGGCCAGGGACCAGGCAGCATTCCAGAGCCGACGCTGAGAAACGGACTCAAACCAGCATTTCGGGTGGCCTCTGAGATTTTTACATTAGACTATTTCATCTAATCCACCACCACGCCGTGATGTAGGCATCATTATCGAGATTTCAGAGGCGAAGATGCTACGAGTCAGAGAGGTTTAGTAACTTGTCGGCCTTCTCACAGCTAGGTCATAGGTAGACTCGGGAAACAACACCGAGGTGTCCCGAGTCAAAGGCAGTGCCTCCCCTGCTGCAGGGAAATTGCAGGACCACCAGGTAGATGTGTAGTGTGTACACTGTCCAAAAGCATCCTGCTGAGGATAGAGGACAGTGACAGCTGAAATGCAGCCGGCTTCCCACAAGCCGTGTCCCCATGAGGCTGTGTCTGCCCGGAGGGATGCCTTCTTCCCATTTACACAGGTGCTGTCTAGCAGCCCTGGCAGTGAGGCTGAGTCCCTGGGAGACAGGTTCAGGCTCAGGCCGTCAATCCTACAGAGGCCTGGGGTCACTAGGTACTAGTGTCACACTGACCCCTCACTTCCAAGTGAAATGAGCCCTCTTGTTTCTTCACAGATACTCCCTGGACCTCCCCGGGGCCACCCCAATTATATTGGATTTTCCCAATGCCATGGTTCAGTCACCCACGCCCTGGGTCAGATGGGCTAGTTCCAGCTGTGCCTCTATAAGCTTCTGGTTTTTCATCTATATCATGGGGATAATGGCAGGATTTATTTCATAGGGTTGTTGAGAGAACTCAACAAATTAATGCACACAATTATCTAGCACAGGGCCTGGTATATAGGTAAAGCTCAATAAAGATTAGCAGCTACTATTATTTTTATGGTTATTATTTAGGGGTCTGGGGCCCAGGTGGCTACTTTGGGACAGCCCAAATGTAACACTCTGTAGGAAGTAGCTGGAATTCATTTGTTTTACTAAAATGCCAGCGTTTCTCTTCTCTATCAAGTTAGCCACCCCTGTGAGAACATCAGAGGCAAATGGGGCAGATAATAGAGAAAATGCCCCCATTCCATAGCTATGGAAACTGAATCCCAGAGGGAGGAAATAACCCAAGCAATAAAGGTAGAGAGGGGCTTAAACTAGGTCTTATGTGTTCTCCGTGACAGTACCACTCTTTCCTGGACGCCCCTGCTGACCAGGTCCCCGCTGTGACCACCCAGGGCCCGGAGGCGGGGTTGGGACCATGCACTCACAGGCAGTCGCCGGCCTGGGGGATGTAGTAGAAAGCAGGGACTCTGGCTTCGTACTTGGCCTTCGCACGGAGGTTCCCGTTGTGGGTCATAAACTGCAAAACAACAGCAACTTGATGGTAATATTAGAACTTGAAAAATGTGAAATGAAACCATAGTCTACCCAGAAGGCCACTGTTCTCACCGGCTCCTCCGCTGAGTCAGGAGGGGCCTGACATGTCCCACCAGGCTGCCGCGGTGCCGCTGGAAAGCCCAGCCCCGAGCAAAGCGGTGCCGTAGCAACTATGCCTCGTGGAGGCAGAGCACACCACAGCTCCCACACATCGGTTCACTTCGTCCCCTTAATCATTTTAATATTACCATCCCTGTTTTAGAGGCTCAGAGAAGTTAAGTGACTTACCCAAGGTGACACAGCTAGTAAGTGGAGAGCTGGGATTCAAACCCAGGCCTGTCTAACTCCAAAGCTCATGTTCTTTCTCCCACCCCCTCCACAGATGGCCAGGACCCCCAGCAACAGTCCCTGCAAGTCTGCAGTCCCCACTAGTTCAGGATTATCACTGGGGCCCATTGACACCTGAGAGACCCAGAGGCACATGCGCCAAGAGTGGCCCTGGCCAACAGTCCACAGTCAGTAACAGCAGTGGCATATCAGGGTGAGGGCGGAGCGGGAAGGAACATCAGGTTTTTAACGGGGTGAGCCCCATTCTCCCCCTCCCCAGGGGCCACCGGGCTGTATCACAGGATTTGCATGGGCTTTGGATCCCAGCAGAGCAAGGTTCACATCCCAGCTGTTCCACTTTTTCACAGAGTGACCCTTAGCAATATTTAATCCCTGAGCTTCAGGGAGCTCCCCTGCAAAACTGGAGAAAAGGTAACAGGGGAGGCATAAGGCACAAGTAAACAACCTTGGGTTTGTGTGCTGGGTTGCTGGTTTCCTGCCCTAGCCTAGCATGTGCGCTCCAGGTGAGCAGAGACTTTATCTTGCTCACTGCTCTCTCCTAATGCCCAGCACATAGTAGGCTTCCAGTAGCTAGGCGTTGAACGAGTGCTAACTAAAGCATCTAGCCCAGCGGTCTAGCACAGCGCCCGGCACAGACTGGGCACTCGGAGCCCAGGGCCTGCTTCCCCGGTGGCCCTTGACATCTCAGCCAACCAGCCCAGTTGAGAGCTGCCTGCTCTCGGAAGGTGTCCTGGCCAAACTGGCGTTTTCCATCCCGGCTGAAGGTGTCCTCCATCTCCGCAGGTCACGGGAGCAAAGCGGTCCCCTTCCCGGCTGGGGGGACTGGAGGGAGAACAGACTCAGGACACTCCAGCGGGGATGCTTCTGCTCCAGGCCAGGACTTGCAGCTGTGAACTGAGGGCTTCCTCTGTACCTGCATCGCGCCCACATTTAATCCTTACAGCAGCCCCGGGGAGGGGGTCGTGGGTATCCCCACAACACAGATGTGGAAACCGAGGGGCCCACAGCTAGGGTTGAATAACAAGCTCAGGGCCTCACCGCTGGTGCATAAACAAGTGATGACGCTAGGTTTTGAACTCAGAGCCTGTGTCTGGGCCTCGGCTCTAACAGGCTGTGCTTCCTCCCCCTGGTCGCTGCCCCTCTCTGGGCCTTGGCTTCCTTCCCTCGCGCCCACCGCCTGCACCCAGGCCCCCAGCCCCTGGCTACCTCCACTATACTGTCGTCCCAGAAGTCCAGCCTCACGGACTTCACTTTGCTGATGTCCGGGAAGTTGCGGTGGACGCCGGAGCAGTTCAGACAGATGAAGATGCCCAGCTTGTAGGAGGCCCAGTCGGGATCTGGGGGGCGAGAGGGCAGGAGCCCGACTAGGTGCGGAGCTGGGCGCGGGCCCTCCTCTCGGTGTCCCCACCGTGGGTGAACCCTCTGGGCACCCCGGGGCCAGGACGGAGATGTCAGAGGAGCTCCGGGAACGCGGGCGAGGGTCAGGCGGCCGGGCTGCGGGAACCGAGAGGGGG